GGGTCCCCAGCAGGTCCCCAAGGGTCCATGGGGGTCCCAGGGGGTCCCAGGGTCCCCAGGGGGTCCCCAAGGTGCCGGTGCCCCCCCAGAACCCCCGTGGCAGCCGCGATTCCCCCCCAGGGACGTGATGCAGAACCACCTCCTGCAGCTGCTGTGCCTGGTGGCCATGGAGAAACCCGCGTCCACCGACCCCGATGACGTCAGGGACGAGAAGGTGGGGACGGGGACACCTGGGGGGCATCTGGGGGGATCTGGGGGGCATCTGGGGTGTAACCAAGGTGTCCCCTCCTCCCCCGACACCCCCACGGGTTGTTGGTCTCAATGTCCTCAAAGGTGCTGGCCAAGCCTCCTGGTCGTGTTCCTTCACCCCGTTATTGGTGGTGACCCCCAAACCCACATCCCAACCCCAAACCCTCCTTGGTGACCCCCAAACCCACATCTCACCCCCACGTCCCACCCCTGTGTCCTCACTGGTGACCCCAAACCCACATCCCACCCCCCATCCCACCCCCACATCCTCCCTGGTGACCCCAAACCCACGTCCCACCCCCAAATCCTCCCTGGTGACCCCCAAACCCACATCCCACCCCCACATCCCACCCCCAAACCCACATCCCACCCCCAAACCCACATCCCACTCCCACATCCTCACTGGTGACCCCAACTCCCCATCCCACCCCCCATCCCACCCCCAAACCCACATCCCACCCCTGTGTCCTCCCTGGTGACCCCCAACCCACATCCCACCCCCACATCTCACCCCCAAACCCACATCCCACCCCAACACCCTCCCTGGTGACCCCAAACCCACGTCCCACCCCGTCCCACCACCATGTCCTCCCTGGTGACCCCCAAACCCACATCCCACCCCCACATCCCAACCCCAAACCCACATCCCACCCCACTGTGTCCTCACTGGTGACCCCCAAACCCACATCCCACCCCCAAACCCACATCCCACCCCACATCCTCACTGGTGACCCCCAAACCCACATCCCACCCTGTCCCACCCCACACTCTCCCTGGTGACCCCCAAGCCCACATCCCACCCCCACATCCCAACCCCAAACCCACATCCCACCTTATCCCACCACCATGTCCTCTCTGGTGACCCCAAACTCGCATTCCACCCCACATCCTCCCTGGTGCTCCCCAAACCCACATCCCACCCCCAAACCCACATCCCACTCCCAAACCCTCCCTGGTGACCCCCAAACCCCCATCCCACCCCACATCCTCCCCGGTGACCCCCAAACCCGTCCCCTGGTGTCCCCCCGTGACGGGCGTGTCCCCCGCAGGTGAAGGTTCTGAAGAGCATCAGCCCGGTGGAGCTGGCGGACGTGGTGCTGGGTCAGTACGTGGGGGACCCCGAGGGCCCCCCCGAGGCACAGAAGGGGTACCTGGAGGACCCCACGGTGCCCCCCGGCTCCACCACCCCAACCTTCGCCGCCGCCGTCCTGCGCGTGGCCAACGAGAGATGGGACGGTGAGAACGGGGGGGTGGGGATGGTGGTGATGGTGGTGGTGATGGTGGTGATGATGATGATGATGATGATGATGATGGTGGTGATGATGATGTTGATGATGACGTTGATTTGATGATGATGGTGATGATGATGATGATGATGAGTTGATGTTGACAATGATGTCGATGACATTGATTTGATGATGATGATGACATTGACGTTGTTGATGATGGTGATGATGATAATGGTGATGATGACGATGGTGATGATGACGATGGTGATGATGACGAT